GGCCGTGTGTGCTTGAGAGGCATGGACTGGTGGTAGAAGATAGGTATTGTTTAAAGAAAGAAATTTGTATGTAGAAATAATTTTATACTTAGAAGAGTTGTAAAAATATTACATATATCCGCCGCCCAACTTCACCTTCTGTAACAATGGTACAACTGTGAAACCAGAAAATTAGATTGAGGTACTACTGGTAGCTAATTTCCTAGTCGCCTGCAGATCTCACCTGAATTTCACCAGTTTTCTCACTGACGTTCTTTTCTGATATTTAGTTGTGTCTCTCTCTTAGTCTTTGCCAATCTGTGAGAAGTCTCTGTGCTTTCTGTGAGTGTCTTTGGCGTTTCCTTGACAATTCTGGAGAAGATTAATTGGCCAGTTATTCTGTGAAACATCTCTTACTTGGGGTTTGTTTGTTGTTTTCTCACGATTAAATTGAGGTTATGCATTTTTGGCAAGACTATCACAGAAATGATGCTCTCAGGGCCACAATGTCAATCTGACTTAATACTTCTAATGTTAACCTTGAACAGTTGGCCAAGGTGGAATCTGCCAGCTTCCTCCAGTTCAGAGAAAGTAATTTTTCTTTTGTAACAAATAAGTATCTTTGGGGGAGACATTTTGAAGTTGTATAAACGTCTTGATTCTTATGATACTTTTGCCCACATGCCTTAACGTCCATTGATGCGTCTTGCAAATATTATTAGTAGAGTGTTTGCCTAATTGTAACTTTCAATTTCAACATCTCTTCTAAATGAATTGGTCAGAATTCTTCCATAAGAATTCTTCCCCGCACCCCCATTTATTTAATCAATTACTTATTTGTATCAGGATGGGCTCATGGATATCTATTTTATTCCCTGTTCTTCATCCATAACCATTGTTATTTAATTTGTTGCCCCCTGAATCTTCTCATCCTTTTATGCCCTTGATCAGTTGGTGGCAGACTTGCTTTCAGCCTTCTAATTTAAAATGTTTATATGATTCTGTCCTTAGCCCCCAGGCATGGGTGAGTTCCATTTTAGTGATTCCCTACACAAGTATTAGCAGTTAAGCACACAGTACTTGTGACAAGCTGGGGGGCAAGAGAGCTGATCCCACCTGAACCCCAGCCTCAAGATACACAGGGTCTAGAGCAGAGATCCCCGGAGTTCTCTGTAAAAGATCAGACAGTAAATATTTTGGGCCTTGCAGGCCACATACATCCCTTTTTCCTGTTCTTCTTTGTTTTATTTTATTTTATTTTTTATTCATTTATTTTTATTAAACCATAGCTGTGTACATTGATGCAGTCATGGGGTACAGTGTGCTGGTTCTATATACAATCTGAAATATTTTCATCCAACTGGTTAACACAGCCTTC